CTTAGGGGAGCTACATATGAGCCACATCACAAGTACACAACTACACAAGATACCTATTATAATATATTTCATATAAGTGAATAAAATCACAATAAAAAAATTATTTCTTTTAATATAAGTTAATATTGAACACATCACAACATATTGCGTAATTATTAGTTATTTGAAATATACAAGCGATGACTACCTATAAACAAATAAAAACAGTTTTAATTTTAATTTGTAGGTTGTATGAATTCCTTGCAAAATGATAAAACGTTTWTTTAGTATAGGAAATAATAATTAAATTTCAAAATCTCAAGTTAACCTTTTGGCCTTTGCTAGTTTACTACATCAAACATTTGAGGTCCACTTATTATTCACTTATTTTAATCTGGATTAAATGAGAATCTAAGCTAACCAATTAGTTTTCTTTCGAACGGAGAGAGTTGTATAGTATCGTCACAAATTACAACAATGAGTGACATTATAATAGTAGTATTAGTCATCGAATTAGGTACAATGATTCAATTCAACTACCACGATGCCAATTAAAGTAATTGTGTATTTACAGTTACTTATTTATTTATGTCCAATACAATAACCAGGTTTTTGTTCATGTCCACGATGGTTTTGAAATATTTTTGACATCATGTTTATTAGACAATTAAGTTGTTTTTTTTTATCGTGTACAAATGTTTGGCTATTTTTATAATTATTACTAAAATGTAACATTTTTACAGTCACTACTAAAAACACTTTCAATATAAACCATTACAATAAATAAAGTTATAACAACGATTTCTATGCTCACAAACCATTTGTTTTTGAAAATAATTTAAAACGCACAATACAAACAATACGTATTTAAGCCATAAAACTTATACGATCGCCTAGATTGTATCCAAATCTAATAATATATTTTATTTCCAACGCATAATATTTATTATCATTTATCTTAAATGAAAATCCCGAATGATCACAACCATAGTTGGCCATGTTTAATAAATGTTCGTTTGAAATAAATGAAACGAAAAGCATTTCATTATTGTGTTCTTTTTATATATGCAATGAAATATTGTACGGCATTAATACTATTGAATTTCCAAATATAACAACTTGTCTCGTTTGATAAAATGATAAAATATCGACAAGATCAGTTAATAACGACAAAACCAACTATAATACCGTCGCATTCAATAACTATAATAATAATATGTGATTGCACCTTTATTGTAATATAGGTAATTAATAATAAATAATATTTACTGTACCTACACTGTATCTGATAATATCTACTATAGTCTATTATATAATATTTTATTATATATGGCTCCTATAAAATTGTTATGCTAAATATTAATTGTTAGAAAGTTTTTAAAAATTCACTGCTTGTGTATTCCTGGAATATGTATGGAACATTTTACTCTACAAATTTATTAAAGTTTTCCAACGGTACTAAATATGACCCTATTAAACTGYTGGACAATAATGTATTCCAACTATATTATAAATTGACATTTAAGACTTTTTTAGTAGCAAATTTTACATATAAAAGTCCAATATAATCTCTTCTGTATGTATTGCTGCATAACAAATCACTTGAACAATATTTTAACAAAAAAAAAAAAAAATAGTTCTGATTTTAAAATGTACCTACATCAACAATAAAAAATGTATGTTCGTTTAAAATTATTAGTAACCAGGACTGCAGTAATACATAATAAACTACCGAGTTTTACCTTAAAAAATCATAATATTATAATATAAAATAGATATTATGACAGAAAATCACGAGTTTAATATAAATATTATGTTAGAGAATTGTATAGGATGACTGTCAATCGCATAAAACTAATAATAAAAAAACAWTGATAACGTAATATTGATATGAAAAGAAAAAACATAAACATATTATAAATAAAATTGTAATATTCAGTAAAACCATTGGTTTTATAAAATCAATGGTAAAACCATTGTACAATTATTTAAAAACTGCTTTTTATGAACAGTACAAAAACGAGTTAGTACGCTGCAGTTAGTAATCAATTTATTATTATTTTATCGTAGGTATATTATGTATATAAAATAATATATATATAGATAATAGGTATATAATACGCATACGGCATCGGTTATAGGTATAAGTCATATCCGATGTTGTTTACCTACCTACCTATAAAGTATGCTAAGTTATATTATTTTCTCGACGTTTAAGCACTCTAAAGCTACGATATGATTCATAAACGAAGAACATGAAAATAATCGTTGTATTTCGTGATTGAATTTATAAACATACTCGCACAACTTTAATGGTTAAAAATGTTAAAATATTATCAAGATAGTAGTAGGCTTGTTTAATTTATTTTATCATGGTTAGTGTCGAATAATATGCGCGTATCTTGTATAAAATATACAAGTTATTACGTAATCTTAGTGTTTTAATAAGTTATTCTATAGTTTCGCGAATACAACTTACGATAAGATAACAACTAAACATTTCCTCAAATTGAGAGACACACACACTGACACTGATATTAAGAACTTGGTCTTGGGACTTTCAGGTGTGCCATTATAGTATGCATATTAGTCTAGGGATCGCAACTTAATGTACTTAAAAAGTACTATACTTATGAGTTTGAAAAATTTCAAATAGGATTTAAAAATATGCACTTAGTTTTGATTATCCAGAATTTTCATATTCATAAATATTTAACTAAAAAAAATTTGGATATTTTATTGTTTTTACTAAATATTTATTAATACAAATAGAAAATTGTAGTAACCATACATTTTAGAAACTAATCCCTTTTTGTATTAACCTAGGTGTGAAAACTTTCAAAATAAAATATATAAGTACATTATATTTTCATCGCCAAATTTTCAATTAATTGTATTACAAACTTGTCATTAATCATAAAATATACTTTAAATAATAATAAAATTGAAAAATATGCTCTTGTAATTTGAAAATCACTAAATATGAAAAAATATATGCACTCTGCACTCACCATACATTTTTATTTATTTTTTTCATAGTGTCGTGAAAATAATTTTTAGATCTCTTAGCGATAAATTTAATAGCCCCGCTCTAAAAGAAAAAGAAAAATATTGTGAATGCAACAATTTCCAAATTACATATTACCTATATATATATATATATCAACAATCAACGATAATTGCACATTTTCAATGCATGCATTGTCTGTGGAATAGGCATAAGTCATATAGCCGATGTCGTCTATTAAGTATGGTTAATTATAATACTATCTTCTCGATGTTTAAACACTTCGTTAAGTACCATATTATGCTTCATACACGAAGAACAAGAAAGCAATCGTTGATTTTCGTAATTGATTTTATTTTTATAAACATACTCGTACTAGTCGTATTCGTAATGGTTAATATTATTATTGTCGCGATTAAAGTAACTATTATAATAAGTTTCTACATAGAAAAATAAAATGTTCACATGGATTACTTATAGATGAAGCTGTTCACTAACGGCACCTCAGATAAATAGTATTTTATATAATGATATGCTCCTACCTTTATGTTTCATAATTATATATTCCGGTTATCACGTAATCGTGGCGTTCTTACTTTATAGTTTTGTGGTTAAAATGACTTAGGTACGATAAGATAATAATTATACATTTCTTCAAATTGATACACATGCATACACTGACACTCCTATTAGAATTTTGTTCCAGAACTTTCAGATGCGTAATATTAWAATATGCATAATATTATACCTACCTACCAATGCACCAACTACAACGGCACATTTTCAATGAACAGATTCTCTGCATATTCGCCTCGCCAAAGGGTGTGATATTACGACTCATATTATACGACATATATTATAATTATTATATTACGATACCCTACTCGCTCTCATTGTCTCGTGCCGTGCAACTATACTATATGTCTTTGGCGATGATAGGGACCGAATATAATAACAGCGTGCTTTCAGAAATCTTATTATGCCGGTCGTTCTAATTAACTCGATCCGTAAACAAAAGTCCAAAGTTCCCTAAACGCCTGTAAGATAATCCACGTCTTGTCTTCGTATAGTTCGTACACGGCCGCGGCTGTTGTAGTATTTTAACAATAAGTTTACTTCCCGTGTTTCCAAGCGCAGTCGTTGCATGGACTTATATAATATGAAGTTAAAACTACCTACTATAATAATATGCCACTAATCATGATACGTTTATGTGGCCGACAACGGGGTTATCATGTTTCTGAAAATATCGGAAAGGTCATTCCTCCCTATCAACTTTTATTATCTCGTGCAAACTTCATCTTGCAGTAGTAACTAAGTTAAATTATCATGAACTGAATAATATCTTAAAATATGTTTTAGAATATTATTATCGTTTCTTCAACAACTGTATTATTTTCGAAAAATTATCTATAGATATTCTGTAATTTCGTGACATAGTAAGTTTATAAGTCAAATCTATACAAATATCAGATAAGATATATAGGTATTATATTACAAGGTGTTGTGAATTTCTTGTTTGTAGAAATAAATAAGCAACATTTTTATATTGGTTTTATATTCTAATCAGTGGTTCAATGCAAAAAAGTTATGATTTAAATCTTCGACAAAAGTAAATCGAAACTCGATTTCCTTAGTGGCCTATCTTGTTTTATTATTATATTTGTTCAAATTGGGAACAATCGCATGTTTCGAAAAGGATAAAACAAGCCCCGGGGATATGAAAATATAAAATTATTCTCCAGAGGTAATTCAATATGTTCAATACGAAAAATTGTTTTCTGTTTTCATACCTTCGGGCTGTTTTGAATGTACAAAATTTAAATAATAAAACTACGTTTCAATATTTTTTTTCCCTTATGTCAACAGTTTTAAACTAATACATTTGGCTCGATCTTCAATTTAACTTTTTATTGTTGTGATTTTTATTTTGTATTTATTAATGCGTATATTATATTCCATAATGGTATACAACGTGGTTTAATAGTTTGTTAATATTTTTCTGTTTACAGTGCGAAATGGTTACTCGTGTGTACCTGTAGCTATGGCAGAAGGTTTGGATATTAAGTTAAATACTGCTGTCAAACAAATCACTTATGGCCCAAACGGCGTGGAAGTATTAACTTCTAATCCTCGATCAAATACAAGTGGAGTCTCATACAAAGGTAATGAATACTAACAATTATAAATCTCTTAACTCATAATAGTTCCCACCAAGAACTTAAATATTCTACATTTCCTAAAATTTAATGAAATTAATGTACTTGAATATTGAATGTTTGATAATTGAAATAGTGACACTGTGACAGTATCGATATAATATATTATAATTATGTATATCAAGTAAAGAAGAAAATGTAATGAATTTACACGAATCACGATTACCAACCTTTAGAAAATTTATACCAATTACTTAAGATCCCATTTTTTGAGGTCTGCGATTTTTTCACAACCTTGGTTGATACTCATATTTTAAACTGTGAAACCAAATGCTAAATAAATATAACGTTCTAAAAACACGGTCGTGGAGTCGTTGATTGATATTTGGATACAGATTCGGTATTATTGTTCAATTTGTGTTTGAATTTCAAATTAAAATCGGATAGATTAAAAAAAAAAAAAAACGTCAGATTTTCAATGCAATATGTTGTATTAATTCATTTTCGGATGAGCTAGGGGGAAAAATTTAAATTATCAAATTATCAACCCTTGTTTGTACACGAGTTTGTTGTAATCTCGCGTGGTCAAATACGTCTCGTCAGCCTTTTGTTGTTTGAAATTCATTTATTTTCGATTAGTTTTTTATTTCAATCGAATTCTCATTGTGCACATTAAACACTCATTTATCATCTATGGTACAAAGCGTGTCCGTTGAATTCTATACCTACTACTGCAAGTCCTTGTATGTGAGGAGGTACAAGGGGTGGATTGTAAGTCAAAGTGTTTAATATAAACAATATAGATGTAATTTATATTATTGCATTAAAAAGGTCATAATTTATTTTATTTTTTACCTAATAAAATTTTATATTTTTAGTACCGAATATTCTATAGTTGTCTTTACCGGCCTTATAAATGTATAAGCAATAAATTATTATAGTTAACTTGTTATTATTGTTAGACAGATATTATATTAATAGTATAATAATTACGATAGATACTTACATATTTTTTAGTATCAATAGGTACATATTGTAATTCATATACATTTTAACTGCATAATGAATCCTTGGTAATAATAAAATATTTATAATAAATACATAATATATTTTACTGTATAATAATAATATTCTATTATTGTTATGAAAATATGGTTTTCTGTAAAAGTTAGAAACTTATTAGTTCTGTATCAGAATAGTCTTGAAACTAATGTCGGCTAATAACCTAAGTTGTTGCAGCCTTATTTCTTTAAATAATAAAAAAAAAATAGTCTTGAATATAAATATGTCACCGAGAAGAGCTGTTTTTGTATATATTCTTTTTCAACTCATTAATATAGAGTTGATCGGTTCTGATTGTTATATCGTACCCTTTGTATTGATTTTATAAAGTATTTATGTCTTCCATTATATTGCAATAACCTAGTTTTATACAGTTGTCCATAAAACTATTGGAAGTTTTAAACATATAGTATCAATAAACAAAAATTACCTTTGATAGACTTACCTAACTTCATATAGTGCATAAGTTATAGGTAGTATAGTCTGTATTATTAACGTCTGAATTTTATAAAATGTTAAAGGAAATTTAAAATTAAATATTTTAGGTGGGTAAAAAGTGTGGAGTAAATTTATAATGCCTAGTACAAAGGTTGAAAAGCTTAAAAGTAATAATTAAGTAGGTACCTGATACTATATTTCAACTTGTATAATAAAATGGCTAAAAATGTTCAAGTGATTACATAATTTAAAACAATTTTTTCTTTTTGTATTTAGATTAACTGATTTAACTTTGAGATTCCTTCTCTATACTCTTTCTTAGCTTCTATTAAAAAGTCTTCGAAAGTTGCTTTCCCAATGCCTTCTGTTATTGTTATAATATTCCTTGAAAATTCGATTTTCAGTATTGCCTTATCAGTCTTAAAATATAGTTTACCTTCAACTATTCTAGCTACCTATTGTTGCCTTAAAACCATTATCATTGCCTATCTTAATACATACGTGTTTGCTTTTTTTCATTTAACTGGGATAGTGTTTTGATGACGCAAGAAACCATGGTATTAAAGTTACAAAGTTAGAAAGGTATGTTCGATGTGAAAAATTTAAATTTCATTATGACCTATTTTTAATAATGTGTTTGTTATCATAGCCATTTCTCGACATAATTTTTTTTCTTTATCTATTTATAAAGGCCCATCTAAAGTTTAAATATTACAATATTCCACTATCAAAGCCAATCTCATAAAGTTTCAGTAAAAATACATTTTTGTCAGAATAACTTTTCAGAAAAATACAATAAGCATATGTTTTAGAGTTAATAATTGTTCAGAGAGATACCAACTTTAAAAACTCTTAAGCACAAAACTGTTTTTTGTTCCTCCTCAAAAGTTGGTAAAACTGAGATAAGCAATAATCCTGCTTCTCAGGTTATGCTGTTTATTATTTCATATTATATTATGTCGTATATGCATTTTTTATTCTTTCTTTGTATGCCAAATATACTCCATATTTACAAGTTTATTAAAAATAATAGGCGATGCATTACTTGTTAAACATTATAATTACTTTTTCCGTACATTTTCTGCGTAAGAAATATTCAGCACTCGTCTCCACCGCGATGTTTCAAATAATTTTATTTCGGACATTTTTGTACGGTCTTTGTTTTACTTCTATGCCACCACAAAACTTTGAACACGTATTCAAACTTAGTTCTATAAAATAAAATAATTAATATTAATTATAAGATATTTTAATTAAAAGTTGTTTAACATCGTATTCTCGAAAACAACAATTTTGCTTAAAAACAATTTGGTCTTATATACTCTAATGGGTAACTAAATACGGTATTAAAATTATTCCACGACTGCAGTGTTGTACCTGATTTGCCTATTTATAATGCCGTATGATAAAATGTTTTATTTTAATTTTGTTCGTATTAGCATTTTTATTGTACAAGATAATAATACTAAATAATAATAATAATAACAATAATGATATTATATATTAAAATGTTATAAGTATTTTTGTAATCTTTTATGTTGAGTTTGGGATTTCTAAAGGCTCAATCCTTATCATGCATTTTATTCTTATAATAATTACTAATTCGTATGTAAAAATATAATTTAAACCAATAACAGAACTGTAGTTCTACAGCATATATTGTTCCCGTTGTATATTGCAATAAATTTAACGAAATTAAGACTCACAATTTTAACTATTATTGCATATAAAAACTAATGAACGTTTATGTATAGGACATTTAATAAAGACTTGGAAACTACTGAACCAATTAGCACGAAATTTCGCACACATTTTCCTTGAGACCCCTATAATAGGTTGCTATGGAGTTTACCCCATTTGGAAATATAGGTACCAAATGATATATTCGATCGCTTATCTCGAATTAGTCCATAAAGCAATATACATCGTGATTCCGATTTTCTCTTGACTGAGATACACTAAACCAGAGATAAATGGATATAGCGCCGTATTTTAGGTTCGTTCTTTTTTCTCGAGCGATCTCAGTGGTTATACAGCTAGCATCCATAGTACTGTGTAATTATTATATCATATTTTAAGTAGGTATATTTTATATCTATCTGCAATTGCATTATTGCCCGATTCACGGCATATCATAAGTCAAATATATACAACTATATATATAACTCGTATATCCACGTTTACATGCTGTTTAAATGCACTTATATTTTTTAATTCATGTGACGTTTGATAAAATGTAGTTTTATCGTCGCCACGTATATATTATATTGTTTTATTATTGCGATATACATTGAAGATCATATTAATAAAAAGTGTTATTATAATTTCGTGTGCGTTTAATATTCTATTAATTATAGGCGATGTTGTGCTCTGTACACTACCTTTGGGCGTGCTTAAGCAATCCACCAACCCGAAGACTCAATCGCTGCCAAACACTGTGCAATTTTCGCCACCGTTGCCCGACTGGAAGGTAGCCGCCATCGAACGTTTGGGTTTTGGTAACCTCAACAAGGTGGTGCTGTGCTTCGATCGCATTTTCTGGGATCCCAACGGTAACCTGTTCGGTCATATCGGAAGTACCACGGCCAGTCGCGGAGAACTGTTCTTGTTCTGGAACCTGTACCGCGCGCCCGTCCTCTTGGCCTTGGTCGCCGGCGAGGCGGCCAGCGTMATGGAAGAGGTATCGGACGAAATCATTATTTCCAGGTGCATGTTGGTGTTGAGAGGGATATTCGGGACAGCAAACGTTCCAGACGTAAGTAAACGGTTGAAAAGAGAATATTTATAATATACGCGCGTGATATMGTTAAATTAATAKCWGTGTATTACGTACTTTTTTGTATGATACATTTTAGTCTAAAAACTATGTTATTATCTTTATCATGCCTTATGTATAATCTATTATGTGTAGGTACTAACATTATAATTGTATTTTTCCGAAAATAAATGTACCTAGTTTTCCCATTTCAGATTTCTAGATATATGCCTGACCTTTCCCCGACTTTGGTTAATTTTTGAATTTTACAATCGTTGAAACAATTATTATTTTATTTTTGAAATAGTATCTTAAGGATCTTAACCCACGGGCCACGATATTTGTGTTTTTAATTTTTGATAACTGTAAATAAGATCCCTATTAATAATTTATAAATTTAATATTAATAATAACTTAATATTTATTTTAATTATTTTCAATTCTCGTTTTTGTCTATATATTATAATATTTCTTAGGTACCTACCCATTCATTAAAAAATAAGTTCAAAATATTTTTTTTATATTGTAAATTTTTGTTTTGTATWCTATTATGTTTATAAAATATAATTATCATATTATCATCTAATATGTTATTTCGTACAAGTGATTTAGTCATTTATTCTATCAATAACGTATATCATATGATATTTTAATAACTCATGACTCTGTATGGTACGTACTTACTACACTGTTGTACTAAACTTTCAATTCGTATATTATAATCCATAACCACGCGGTATATCATGCCATATACGTATAGGTTCCTATAAARTTATTTTGTTATTACTTTTCTAACGCCGTCATGTGATCTATTTTCAGCCGAAGGAAACTGTCGTTTCACGCTGGAGAGCCGATCCATGGGCACGAGGATCYTACTCGTTTGTGGCTGTAGGTGCCTCCGGATCCGATTACGACTTGCTAGCGGCTCCCGTTTCATGTTCCAGAAGCACGGAACCCAATACAAATTCGAACCCGACTGACGGAAGCGAACGTCTCCATTTTGCTGGTAATATATTTTCCATAACTAATATCGTCATCGTGATGTACAATATTATACAGGATGATTCACAAAGCACAAAAAACCATTTTTGTCTTCAATTAATGCAATTATTTGAATTCTGATTTTTGGGAATTGTAAATTTATTTTTTTAATGGGGAATCCYTTTTTTGCGTTATGAGTATTGACAGTAAATTATTAAGGTAAAATTAAATACATGCATAACTTGGTATATATGACAGTTAAAGAGCAGAAAAAAGTAAAAACAGAAAAAATTGTTCAACTTAAAAACAAGGGACCAGTAAGCCACTGGTTCAACATTAACCTACTTAGTGATGGCTTGTTAAATAAGTAGTTTGAGGTTGTATAAATAATAAATGTATTAATTTAAAGGCTAGACTCTATATTTTCAATTTTTTGACATTTTTTATACTACTGAAGAATAGAGTCCTGCAGAGATAACATCTTCTGTTTTTCAAATGAGAATTTCTCCCCCTTTCTACAGTAAATTATTTAGTGGATAATTTTTCGGAAATTTATTTGACGTATCAAAATTCAAACGACTATTTTTTGAATTATTCATTTTGTGTACTAATTACTAAGAATCATATAAGTTCATGATTATGAGTTTGGAAGATATGGGAACTATAGTGAATAGTATTATGAAATATATATTATATTAGTGATAAATATCAATTTATAAATAAAATAGGTATAGTTTGTAAAAAAATGTAATAAATTTACAATGTCACACTTATTTTAGATTTTTGTAAAACCATTTGTAAGGACTWTTATTCTGAGTATTCTGAAAAACTATTTTTCAAATTTGTTAGTTAGTTATCAATATATTCAAAAATATATTTAATAAAAGTGGGTCATCATTTGGAGAACAGAAGTTAGTAACTTTTTATAATTGCAAAACACTCCTTAATAGTAGTAAAAAAAATACTTAAGATCTTTAAAAAAAATATATTTTAGTAAATTTAAGAATTATAAAAATTATAATTTGAATAAATTCATTATTGAAATAAATTATGGGGTTGTTAGCACTTAGCATGCTCGGTAAATCATGTGCTGTGCACGCGCGTTATTGTCTCGCAACCGTCGTCACGTCGATGTTAGTCCTGCGTACATAGTCGTATATGACTGTAYGAACTCGGAAAGAACCAACCCATTTTTAAAATATGAAAATAACGTCTGGACATAAAAATTCGGTTTTAAGAATAAAAGAAACTGTGGTCGAACAACGGCTTATAGACATTATAGTATTTGACCGTCTGGTACCTACCCTGCAGTTGAAAACGAAGACGTACCTATCGTATACAATATACGTAATATTATTATATCATACCTGATTCACCTGCCAGTTGGTGTTGTACGGCCGTTGACACGTCAACCGATTACTCTTCCTTTAAGAAGTTGTCAAGCTGATTTACAACCGTGACGGCGGCTTAAGAGAGCGTGAGATGACGGGGTGTCTTTTTCGAATAATAAGTCATATTTACTGAGTAAAATTAATTTCAATACCTAATCACCGTTGTGTGTATTTTTTACATAATATATTATATATATATATATATATTAAGCATATAGTGAAGTTCAAAAATCCTAAATGACGTGTACGTCTGTGTCGTCTTTTTCTTAAAAATATTTTGAATGCTTTATCATACACGCTACTTATAAGGGAGGCATATATGCAAATGAAGACGTTCAATTATTACTATTAAATACGACCTGTCAACTAAATAATACGTTTTGTGTCTGTCTAAAATGATGTAGGTGAACATACTATACGTAATTATCCGGCCACAGTGCATGGAGCTTTTCTTAGTGGTCTTCGTGAGGGCGGAAAGATTTGTGACAAGTTTTTGGGATGTCCGTACGCAGCGCCTACATCAAAATAATTTCCACATGGAGCCATTTTTTACGTATCTATTTTTTTTTTTATTATAAACTTGCAATTTATGATTTTTTTTTTTTAATCATAGTTTTGATGTCATAAACTTTTATACTAATACGGTAATCATAARAATAATATGTCATTTTTTTCAATTCCAATAATTTTAGCACTTCATTTATGTTTACATAATATATTACTTAGATAAGTTAATACATGGAAACGTTATTCAAAGGTTACTCCAAGGTGTCTAAACTATATTTAAATATTTCTTACAACTAATTAAACTACTAAACATAATATTAATAACTGTTCAATTTATTTGAATTAATTTCTTTATTTTTGAAGAAGAGCATTTTATAATCAATTAATAATAGTATGTTACGTGCATTTTACTCATTTTGTACTACATTAATCATTTTTCGTTGTAATAATTGATTTTTATTTTATTGCATTTAAGATGGAACTTTAAATATACGATTTGCCATGTTTAGAATGTAAGTTTGATTATAACTAATTTTTTTTTTCATAACTAATGTCTTACATAATTTTGTATTACGGTATAATATGCACTTAAGCAGCACCTTATCATTTCAATCTTAATTTTAAAGATACACTTTTTGTCAATTTTTTTTTTCAAACATTTCTATGTAATTTTTGAAACTAATAAAGCATACTGCCTTACTTTTATATTGAACGAGTATTGMAATTTTTAGTATTTTTACAGTCTGCAAACAGAGCTACCTATTGATTTTTAACGTATTTCAGTGAATTCCGCATCACTAGCATACAGATAGCGCTAGATGTAGACAGTGAGAGAGAAAAAGAAGGAATAACTTTTGAATACTAGCCGCTCTCTTTGTGATTAATGTTTTCATCAATTTTGTCGGACAATAATAAACAAAATATCGAAAATATAGTCACCTATGTTAAAATATAATAAAATATATAATCGATATCAAATCGAATTTATTAAATAAATAAATTATAAATAATAGTTTATATCAAGCACCACAACACATCACCGACCAGCTCCAGGGTGAGTAAATCGAGACAAAAAATCACTTGTTACAAGTCCAGCTGTGTATACTCGTTCGCGTTAAAAATTAATAAAACGCATTAAGCAAAGCACATTATAGAGACAGAAGACAATAGAATAGCTGATTGGTATTTGTAAGTAATTGACACTCGAAATTCTCTCACGTACCTAATAATATTATGTCATTAGTAATATTCTTACAATTTATATTTTATAAGACGAACAAACAYGGGGCTTGGTGTGGCACGGGGGTTGGCCACAGTTACTTACGTGTTCTAAGTCAAGCATCGTTCGGTATAGCTATTCTCCAGATGGGTGACCATCCGGGTTCTTATTTCTCCGTATACACATGTGTTCTAAACCAATCTATTCAATCTAATGACCTTTTGTTTTTTTCGTTAGTATCGAGAACCGGAGGAGGAAACGTGATGCCAGTATTTCTCCTCCGGCCACACCGTTTATTGATAATAATTAATAACCGATTACACAATATTACATAGCTGTGACGGGCCAATCTCACGTTCGATAGCTATATTACAGTAGGTAGTTATGTACAATAATACTCGAGAGTTTGCCTTTGGCTATATTTTTAATAAATTTAACTACGCAATCATTAGTTTGGTGAATCTGGAGGTCTTTCTGCGACCTGACGTCGTCGTTCCTCATCCTCTTTTGCAGTAAGGATGTTTTCTACCATTCGATAAAAAAGTTTGAAAACTTCCTCCGCTTCTTTAAGAACCGCGTGCTTCTGGGTTGGATTCGGCGGCACAGTCTATAATGACCTAAGACGTTGAACCTTTAACTAAAAAAAAAAAAAAATAATAATAATAATAACAATAATACTGTTCATTTAATGAAAACCTTTATTTTATTAAAATAATATTGTATTATTGATTTAATATAATAATTAAGATATTTTTAAATAAGTATCATCATTTTTTTTAAACATAAAATTTTTCACACATGAAATCTAATGTGTTTGACTTATAATTATAGTAATATTTTGATGAATGAGTGTAGGTTATTTAAATTAGTTGAGAAAAAAAAACTATTTAATTATCGCCTTTTATTAAGTGTAAAATATTGTAATTTTATTTTGTATTGTATTTAAAAAAAAAATTATCGAGAGTCAGTTAGGTAATCAAATTGAAATCATAGAAACAACTGAAAGGTTTATATTGTTTCAATTACTAGTTATTGAACCGTTTTTTTAACTACTTAGACCTCAGAAAACAATGAACATAATATAAACAAGAATTTCGATAAATTTTCCCAACTMCRAGATATTTAAATGGATGTTTAATTAATTAATTAATTCAAAAACGTAAATTAAAACAAATCGTTTAAGTACCTATAGTATTACTATTATTCCACGTTTTTGTTTTTTAACTATACTTCTTATTATAAGTTATACAAATATTCCTCTGTACATGTTTTTTTTTGTACAAATATTTGTTAAATAAACCATTATAAAATGTATATAACTTAGCAAGAACGATAATCATTGACATCTGTATAATCACTGAGTGAATAAATTGTAAATTATTACTTTTGCCGTTAATAATATATTATTATTTAATTATTTTACTTTAATTTGGCATCATTTTCTCCAGTTAAGTTTTTTTGATAAGTAAATGTGTAGTATGCTACCTCTACAATAACATGTCTGCGCATACCGTAAATCCGTATGCATACTGTACCGACCTATACATATTAATATTTGTTATGTTGTAACAAAGAGCAGTTGAAAAGCTGGAAAAATAATTAGAGAATTTTTTCAAAAGAAAACCCAATTTTCTACTAAGTGTACAATAAAGTGAATGATGTAATATTGAAAAATGTGGATATATGTTTGCTTATATTATGCGAAAATCGAGGACCATTTTAATGATCTCAAGTGGCGAAAAACGCCTCTAATAAAATCATATCGTGGTATATAGGGTTAGGAATGTGTGTGTGTGTGACTTCGTGCGTCTGACATGATTACGATCAAGTTTGTTGATAATAATATATTGTATAATAATCTCAAAATTATTTATAATATTATCGATCATTCTGACGAGTATATTTATCATAAAACACTCATTATTTCAAAAACTATTGACTTTTTTCAAAATATTTTTTTAC